CTCACTCTTATATATAACGCGATTCTCAGACTAGACCACTTTCCAAGTCAATGGAAATGTGCAGAGATCGTTATGATCCTAAAACCAAACAAAATAGAAACGGAATTGACATCATACCGTCCCATTAGTCTGTTGACAATTTTCTCGAAAGTGTTTGAAAAAATACTATTGAAGAGAATGTTACCAATTTTAGACGAACTTTCCATCATTCCTGAATACCAATTCGGATTCAGGAGGGGTCATGGGACCCCTGAGCAATGTCACAGGGTTATTAATGATATAGTTTCGGCATTTGAAAACAAAAAATACTGCACTGCTGCATTTCTTGATGTTCAACAAGCGTTCGATCGAGTCTGGCACAAAGGTTTGTTGTACAAGATAAAGAAATGGCTACCTGCTCCGTACTATTTATTAATGAAATCATATCTGGCTAAAAGATGCTTTTACGTGCAGCAGAAAACCGATAGTTCATCACTACTTCTCATCAACTCAGGCGTCCCACAAGGAAGCGTATTGGGACCAATTCTCTACACCCTATATACGGCCGACATGCCAGTTACAAACAACTGCACTGTTGCAACATATGCTGATGATACAGCCGTTTTAGCCACAAGCACATCTATAAATGAAGCTTCTGAACTCCTGCAGAGTGAGCTAAGCCTAATTGAAGCCTGGTTCCTTCGATGGAAAATTAGAATAAACTCCCTGAAATCCGTCCAAATAACGTTTTCATTAAGACCAGGTAACTGCCCAAATGTTACACTTAACGGCTCACCAATTCCACAAAGTACCTGTGTGAAGTATCTCGGCTTGCATCTCGACCGCAGATTAACATGGAAAAACCACATTAAAGCAAAATGTCAACAACTTAGACTTAAAACACTAAAAATGTCCTGGCTGATAAGTCGAAAATCAGAAACCACTTTGGAAAACAAAATTCGCCTCTACAAATCCATCCTGAAGCCTGTTTGGACCTACGCTATACAGCTTTGGGGAACTGCTAGCAACTCAAATATTGAGATACTTCAGCGTTACCAATCAAAAACTTTGCGACAAATTGTCAATGCTCCGTTTTACGTATCTAATGCAAACATCCACAAAGATCTGAATATTCCAACCATTAAAGAAGAAATAAAGAAAACTAGTAAGAAATACATCGACAGACTCCACAACCACGAAAATAATTTAGCCTTAAGTCTATTAGACAATAGCCTAACAGTAAGAAGACTGAAAAGATACCACATTCTCGATATCCCTGATAGATAAATTTAACAAACTAAAAAGATGTTATATATAATAGCAGGGCTCATTGGAAAACTGCTATTTCTGTTAATTGAATATTAATTATACAATTTACTTATTGTTTAAAAACAGATTGTAAATATAAAGAGAGAGAAAAAAAAAAAAAAAAAAAAAAAAAAAAAAAAAAAAAAAAAAAAAAAAAAAAAAAAAAAAAAAAAAAAAAAAAAAAAAAAAAAAAAAAAAAAAAAAAAAAAAAATATGTACAATGTACTTATGTATTTGTGCTGTGGCATTAGTGGCATTGATTACTTTGCTGCCCCTGCAGTGATGTGATTCAACTTCAACTTCAGCCGAACACACGCGACTCCATTGGCAATCATTGTTCTACCTCCCCACTGTCCCTTCTGTGTAACCCTTTTACTGCATATGGCAGGAAGTCTGCGGCTGGCAAAATCGAAAGATTAAAATTACAAGTAACTTCATTTTTAGGGCAGTGGAACAGTTGGCAAACATTTGTTCTATACATTCATAAAATAATTAAACAGACAAGTACTCTAATAAAAATAGCAATTAAAATAAACGAAAGTAAATCAGGAGAACAACATTGAGAAAGCGCAAACAGAAGTAAATAATTGAGCAAATCTGAGCAACTGTCCCCCATTCGGGTCTCATTGTGTTACAAGGCTTCATCTTAAACGGTTGCCACTTAAGATCTGCTAAAATTCAGTGTCTGTAGAGGGTGTGACTGCATAATGTGTCTCGGTTCATATTTCATATTATGATCTGCTAAAGATTTAGTGTGGTTTGAGGTGCGCCTGATTTAATCGTATCATATATCAGCCGACCTTTCTTTCGGCTCATCTGTGACGATCAATATCGTCTGAACCGGTTCAAGTGTGGAAATACGCATCTTATTCACTTGACGTATGATCTTCCACATCCAAAAACAACAACAAAACTCCAACTCTAACCCTAGGCACCCGACTTCTGAACTGGTTTTAAAAGTTTCTTCAAGGTTTTACCTTTTTCTTGTGGTTCGCTGTGTTATTTTGGCTTACTTTGCCAAGTCACATGCCAAAGTTTGCTGGGGTGGCTCAAATGTCAATAAACTTTTAACGTAAAAGTGTTACAAAGATCTTTCTCTCTCTCTTCAATTGTACTGAGAGTTATTTAATTTGATATGCAAATACACGAGTTTTCTGAGAAAACTGAAAGAACACTCTGATATATATGTATTTTAATTGAATTGAAGCTGAATGCTCTTCCACTTAATGCCATTAAGCCACACACAAAAGCCAACGCCATATCGAAACGTATAGCCCCCTGCTGTGAGTAGAGTATAAGCCAGAAAAAGAAATTACTTCCAATACGCACATATAAACACGTAGTTTGGGACTCCCAAAAACAAATCTGTGAGCATTCCCCCAAGCGCATAATAAGCAAAAGAAAGCAAACAGCCGATGGCACCTCCACGAATATTCAATTAAAAGATCTTTTGTGTTGATTCGAAAAGGTTTTGGAGTCTCTCTTACTTACAAGTAAATATAATGATACCCAGATGATGATGGGCATATAATTTCCAACTAAATGATCTCGAGACAGCAGTGAAAACGAACAGCAAACACAATTCAAACAGAAAATCCCGAAGCAAGCAAACACCTGAGCAAACACAGCGGAGCAAAAGGCGGCGCATCACGTATACGCCACCATGTCCAATGGCAAGGCTGCTGCCGCAGCTGAGAAAAATGGGTAAAAATTACATTCCCCTCCTCCCCAGAATAATTCTAGCTTAAACAATAACCCAATAGTTAATTGCTTAACAAAATTAAATACATTTTCTGCTCTGTAGCTCATTGAACGATCGACCGTTGTTCATGCAAAATGGCAATGGGGGACGTCTGGCCCCGGTTAATGATGTGGAAGTGAGCAACTTCCGACGCGCCCTGCCACAGTTTTTAGCTGTTAGTATTAAGAACATATTGCTATTCGGTAAATAACATTAAAATTCAAGTTGATTTATGATTTGTAAACGGGAATGAAATTAATTTGCTAGAGAAATTATTATTACTTTTAATAATTATCAAAACTTGTTAGAAATGCCACGCGCGGTTGGAATTTCTATAGAATACATTCTTTAAATGACATACGGTATGAATTTGCATATAAACCCCATTAACATACATCAAATAAAGTCTCATTAACAACGTTTTAATTAGGTGATTTTTTTTGTATACCTAAATATTTCTTAATCAAAGCTTGACATATGAAATTGGATTGCGGAGTTGCACAATTACCAGCAGAACTTAATTTCATTCCCTCACAATATACAAAGATCTTGAATGGAGCCTATGATAAATTCATTTAATAATATCCACAGGCTATGGCATGACTTTGGGCTTCCCCACAATTGTGATACCTGCCATCCAAGGAGGCGAGGGCCGCAGCGAAACAAACAGTGATATAATCCTCAACAAAGACGAGATATCCTGGTTCAGTAGGTCACAGACTTTGAGCTTGAGTTTCCTGGTTTACCGATCTCCCTTTGGTTCTTCAAGGTTCCATCAATTTGATATGCGTGCCGCTGGGCTGCCTGTTCTCTGGCGTGTTAACACAACCGCTGGGCAAGCGACGTGCAATGCAGGTAATCCACAATCCGTAACCCACTTAGCCGCAATCATCCTCATCATCACCACCTCTTACCCATGATCATGATGCTGCCAATCAACCTTCTCTGGTTAACAAATCAAATGGAACATGGAACATTGACACACTAATCCGAAATCGGAGCTGCGTGACTTCTACTGACTTTTATTGTGTAATTATGTTGCTTGTTGTTTGCAGTTTGTCAACCTGCCTATACTGGCGGCATGGCTAATGTTTCACTTTGCAACGCGCACGGAGCATCTGTATGCGGCTTTATGCCTCGCTGGTCTCGGCGGTGGATTAATGGAGGCGCCAGTAAGTCTATACCCCAACCTCATAATAATTAATCTCGTGGCTATAATAGGTCCTCCCGTAGTCTTTGTTTGAGTACAAAATTTGCATAGTTCTAGCGTGAAAAGGGACTGACATTCTTTTTGATTTTGGTGTGAAAAAAGATTGAGGAAAAATGTAGACAATGAGCAAAAATACAATGGGAAAAGATATTTCATATAGATACAATATTTAAAGAGGTCTGGTTAAATAGAGGCGCATTCCCGGCCTCACTTTAGCGTTGTAGATGCACGTGACAAAGCGTTTGGATCCACTGTCCAGCATGCCACAGCCCACCTTATATGCGCCGCTGAACGCCATGTTGCCAAACATTCGCATTTCCCGAGTGGCATTGGCCGGAAATGCACTCACATGATTGGGTTTAACATGGATTGAATTGTTAGACCATTTCTTTATGAAATAGTTCATCGCATTGGCAGGAGTGTTTTTGATATCTGTAAAGTCCGAAGTCTCTGCCACATTGGGAAATCGGAATGTGTTGACGCAGAATGTGCTAACTTGATTCTCATTGCACTGATTGGTGATCCGCATGGCCATGATCGCCAGCTCATCGTCCCAACTTAGAAATGGCAGGTTTAGGCCTCGGGGAAGGCCAGCAACTCGGCCTTCGTTCAGCTTGTGGCGCACCTTATTTTGCATATTAATAATATTCTTCATGTCCTTCTGGAGATTCACGCCCTCGTGGCTTTTCCCACACTTGGGACTCCACTGGAAAAGATAAGCGTACTTCAAATCATCACTGATGATCGATCGATCACTCACAAATCGGGAATCACAGGTGAGGTGTCGAACGTTCCTTGGGCAGAGCTGCGAGTCGCAATAATTTGGCGACCGTGTTGGTTTTGGGTACAATTTGCGACGTACGTGAAAGGGCCATTTCGTCTTGTAGGTGATGATATTTTCTACAGAAATAAAATATAGTTTACTTAGCAGCAGCACAACCATAAATAGAATGTTCATTTTCAAACTACTGCGGAGAGGAACATTGCAGGGAATTATTATAGATTTCGTTGAATTGCAATTTTCATGGCTAGAATAATATTTAATTGGATTTCGTATGCTTTTGGAGGGTTGCTTTAGGCATTGCAGATGGGAACAGTTGATTTTGTCATGGAAAACAAAATCTCTGACTGGATTTCTATAGCTGCCAATCGTTTGTTGCTTTAGTTCTCCTTTTGCAAAAGAATGCCATGGCTTTTGTGGTTTTTCGACCTTGACCAACTCCTTGAGAGCTACAGCAGCCACTTGTGTTTGTGCCACTTGCGAATGCCGTGGCAGCTGTGGCAATGCCGTGGCAATTGCTAGATGCCAATCGCGACTCTTAATGTCACTGTATGTAACGAGCAACCTTGATGCTTCTTTCAGGTGCTTACCTATGTGGCGGAGATCACAGAGCCCAAGTATCGTGGCATACTGTCAGCGCTGGGCACCACCTGTGTCATCACCGGTGTCTTTATACAGTTCATACTCGGCTCCCTGATGGACTGGCGGAGTGTGGCCGCGGTGAGTTCTGCCTTTCCGGTGATTACCATCGTCATGCTGTGCTTTGTGCCGGAGAGTCCCGTGTGGCTGATCAGGGAGCAGCGTTTCCTGGAGGCCGTCAAGTCGCTGCAGTGGCTGAGGGGCTGGGTGCCAGAGCACAAGATCGAGGCGGAATTCAATCAATTGTACGACGAGCTGATCACACAGAAGGCCATCGAGTACACAGCCGATGGGGTGCCAGTGGCAGGACAACGTCGAACGCTGGGCCAACGCCTGAGAATGTGGCGCAAGCGAAGTTTCCTGGTGCCGTTCCTTCTGGTGTCGTTTGCCTTTTTCACTGGACACTTTTCGGGCAAGACACCCCTGCAGACGTATGCCGTGCAGATCTTCCACACCCTCAAGGCACCGATGAATAAATACCATGCCACCATTCTGCTTGGTGTGGCCGAGATGTTGGCCACCATTCTGGGCGTGATACTCATACATTTTACGGGCAAGCGACCGCTGGTTCTGGTCTCCACCGTGGGCACGGGCCTCTGCTTCCTTGGCACCGCCACATATGCTCACTTCCTGAACGAAGTGCCCGGCTTCACGGTCAACAATGTGGTGGTGAATGCCTCATCGATTGTCCCCAAGGAGGGCATCCTATCGCAGGCGAACATATCAAAGATCTTTGCGAACGAACAGCTGGAAATTCTACAGGATCAGGCGGATCAGCTGACGACGATGCTGCCAGATATGTTCGAGACAACCACCATGTTTGATCTGGATACGTGGAATCGCACCAAAAGGGAGCTGGAGACCACCACCGATTATGCCGATGCCATGGAGACCACAATGTGGCCAGAGCCATCGAGCAGCCCCGAACCACTTCCAAATCCACCGCCAGCGATGCCCACCAGTTCCGCAAAACCACCCATTCAGGAGGAGCTGCTGCTGACTGTGCCGAAGCAGGAGAAAAACTATCTCGTGTGGGTGCCACTCATACTGCTGCTGCTCTCCGCCTTCTTCTCGCATCTGGGCATACGCATGCTGCCCTGGATCCTGATTGGTGAGGTCTTTCCGGCAGAAATACGCAACAGCGCTTCAGGGTTTGCCGGCGGAGTGGGCTACATCTTTGGTTTTCTGGCCAACAAACTGTTTCTGTGGATGCTAGCCGCCTTGACATTGCCGGGAACGTTTGCCTTCTATGCCACCGTGGCCTTTATAGGCACTGTGGTGCTGTACTACACGTTGCCAGAGACCGAAGGACGTACCCTGGGTGTAAGAAAATGAATTATCCTACAGCTAATTCGATACAAATTATTATCTTTTCTTATAGGAAATTGAGGCTCACTTCTCCAAGAAATCCGATATGAATTTACTACGCAAACAGCCGAAAAAGAAGGCACCCATCAAAGATGAGATCCAGATGCCTGACAATGCCATCAATGTGGACACAATGCAGAGTTTTCATGTGCCAATCACATCACAGCAGCAGTCCAAGATCATACACTTGCAGCAGAGTGACTTTACGCCCAGAACGACACAGAATGGACGAAGTGGGGCCACAAATCTGGCGTTTGAGGAGAGCAATACCACACATCTGTGAGACCGAACAGCATCCTTTCCAATTGCTTAACATTCCAGTGATATTTCTGAGAAATAAAGTTAAATAATTAGATTTAAATACACAATAATGGTCTTTGTATTAAACAGTCTCCAGACCAGCGTGCGCATTGAATTCCATGAAGACTTCAATCAATTTTTAACTACTCTTTTTTTATGTGAACTCGAGGACTTTTTAACGTAATTTAAAGCATGCTTAAAAGTAATATTGTTTAACACATTTCCATCGAGAGAGAGAGATATATATCTTTTATATATAGATTTATGTAGATAGATGAAGCTCCTTGAGATTGGCGATCCTCCTATGTCTCATCATCCTGCAGCTCAAGGAATTGTGTACAAATGTCGCGACTGCACTCGCCCTTGTTGTTGAATAGGAATTTATAGTAATGACCATCCGCACATATGGCTGAAAGCAAACAGAACAAAGGTTACGAAGGTTTCCAAAGGGAAAGAGGAGTCGAATGATTAGAGGACTCACCCACAACCGAATTTGGATCGGCACCAAAGGCACATACGCACCGCGGTCCCTGTGGTATGGAGAACTTCACAAAACTCCATTGACTTGAGAAATACTTGGGTATTATGGGAAGCGAGGATTCGCGCGGCTTGTTATCCTCCAGATTGAAGACATGTATGGTGCCATGGTCCGAGGCGACGACAACCATGGTGGACTGGTGATTAAAGTTGATGCAAAATATATTTGCATGATTGCTGCCACGTCGCAGCTCCGAGACCTTCTTCCCGTTCTCCGTATCGAAGATGCGTATGAGGGTGCCCTTCTCACCGGCGGTGGCCAGACGTGTGCCCTGAAGATTTAGGGCAATGCAGCTGATGGCCGCCTCGTGGGCAATCACCTCCAGGGGGGCACGCTCCGTGTTGGCAAGATCCACGATCTGGACATGGCCAGTGCGTCGGCCGGGGAATGCGAGTAGGCTTTTATTGCTATGGGGACAGAGCACGCATAGCCCATTGGGATTGGCGCTCGTTTCGAAGACATGCAACTGCTGCGGCTGCTGGGTGAAGGTGAATACCTTGATCACACCCTCCAGCACCACCACAATCCGATCCCGACGCAGTCGCACCGCACGAACCGGCTGATTGAAGTCCAACGATATGGCCGGTGATTTCTTCAAATCATCCCAAACGATCACTTTATTTGGTGGATAGAGCGGCCGTATGCCGCCGCCCACTAAGGCCAGATAATTGCAGCGAAAGAGCATTTCCACATGGCTGAGACCGCCTGAGAGACAATGATTTGACAGTAAAATTGGATTACACGGGCGGACGGTCGTGGGATATGCATGTATGCATTGTACATACCCTCGGGAAAATATTGCCTTTCCTTTTCTTTCAGCGGGTCACAGTTGTAGACGCGAAAGCCCGTGTCCGTGGCACAGGCAAAACATCCTGCAACGCAATTGCAAATTTTTGTCGAAAATATTATAGTATATTATTATGTGGGTGCGTGTGTATGTGTGTGTGGACGGTGGCGCTGACTATCTCTGGACTGGTAAATATGTAAACAACAAACCTTGGTCCTGATTGAAGGCTGCGTAAAGCATCCCATTGCCGTACGGATTTTGCTCCGTCAGATTCATTGCGTTGGTTGTGTGTTGTTTTGATTCTCCAGTCGAGTCGCCTCCTATTCGTCGATTTAAGTTGGAAGAAAATAATTATCAGGACGGTGCGGTAGGTGCGTATAAAAACAATAGATCAGTGCTGGTAACCAGCGCGCGTATTATCGATCGCCTATCGTTATCGCCACTAATCATACAAGCAAATAATAAGCTGTTTACACTGGGTGACATAACTAAGAGGCATATTTATTGCAAAAAGATGAGGCCCTTTTTTGTACTTTTGTTGACTTACTGAGCTATTCTCAGTCATTTCGTCTATTCCGATATCAATGGGACAAGCGGTGGTGGAAAAGGGCTGAAAACCGACAGACCTTTACAACACTAGACATCTTTAATGTGATTTATTTGCTATTCTTTCAAAAGCCAACAAAACGCCACTGCACAGCTCAAATCGGAGGAATGTTTATCCACTACATATAAATATATGTAGGACTATCGCAATACCATGGAGTTCTGCACAGATTTCAGTAGCTGGGATAGGGGCACCATCGAGGCGTGCCGCACCTGCGGCACTTATTTCGACATCACCGAGGGTCTGATTAAACCAATATTTCTCCCGACGGCCGGCGTAGAAGCAAAATCTGATGGGATGGCTGAGATCCTGCAGCAGCTGAGCGCATGGAACTTATTGGTAAGTAAGCGCCGCTCTCTGTTTTTCGGCTATAATGAAAATTGTTGGTACAACAGGTAACAAAGGGAGACGGTCGTCCGCAGTACATGTGCATTTCCTGCATTGCCGAATTCCAGAGGCTGTTGCAATTTAAGTGCAGCTGCCTCGAGGCCCATGAGCAGTACGCAGAGCATCAGCAAACTCCTGGTATAAAGATAAAAAATGAACTCGAAATTCAGGCGGAGGAGAAGTTCTGTGGCTTCATTTATCTCGACTCGGACGAGGAAGTGAGCGACGAAGATGGCAGCCGACGGGTCTTCGCAGCCTTCGATATTCAACATGTGCCCATTAAGGAAGAGCACATGGCCCGAGTGCCGACACAACAGAGTGATATTAAGTTTGTGCCGCCACAACCGCAGCCACTGCTTCCGCTGGTGGGTGTAAAAACCGAGGCGGAGCACGAGCTCAAGTTTAAGAGCTCTCCAAAAGAAGAAGAACTTGATGTTGGTGGGATTTCCAATAAAAGTGGAAGCAATGCCAATAACATTTCCTTTGAAAGTGAAAGCAATCCCAATGCCATATCGTATGAAATTGAAAATGATAATGATAATGAGAGCGACGAAGAAGAAGTCCTCAAATTCACATACGACGATGATGAAGATGCCATGATCATTCCACAGCCTATGCAATCCACGTCTACTCTCTGTAAGATCTGCTTCCAAGAGATACCCAACCAGCTTTACCAGACGCATATGGAGCGAATGCACCTGTCCAAGGATTGGGAGTGTCATCTCTGTGGCAAGAAGTTCTTGAATTGTAAAGAGTCACGTCTGAAGTTGCACATGAAATGGCACAAACTTCAGCGCCGTCTGAAATGCCCGATCTGTGGCTTCTTTTGCAACTCAAAGGAGACCCTCAAGGATCACAAGCGAGCTGTGCACTCGCGTACCGTCTGCCAATATTGTGGAAAGGGTATGAGGAATCCAAAGCTTTGATGTAATTATTTAAATAATGCTATTTCACTCGTTGCAGTTATGAAACCCAATATACTGCAGTCGCATATGAAGAAGCATCTGGATGGTAAGTGTCCTCAAAATGTGAATTTTTGTTTATCTTAATTTGCTCATCTTTTGTACAGAACGTGAAGCTGAGTTGGCCCAAAAGCTGGCATCTGCAGAGCCTCTAGGTGCTTCTGCTTCAGACCAGATGCTGATGCCTGTCAAGGATTTCGGTCCTTTTTATTCAGGCGAAAGTAAGCTCAAAGTTGTGAACCATCTGCGACCACCGTCTACTTCCTCTGCAGTCCAGAAACTGACACATTTGGACCAGCCAGAGACGGCGTCTGCAGCTCAGAAACGTGCCTCAATGCAGACTCAAGTTCCGCTTTCTCCATTGTCTTTTAAGAATAATAAGGAGATTTCAGCTACATCTTCTCCTATCCAGCAGCATCGGGAATTTCCGGTGCCCATTTCTCCAGTTCTGCTGAATAATCCAGTTCAGCAGCAAAAGCTGCACTCTCCAGTCAAGCAGCAACAGATGCTACAATCTCCAGTCAAGCAGCAGCTGCATTCTCCCCACCAACAGCAAAAGGAGCAGCAAAAACCTGAGGACACTCCAGTGACTTACTCTCCCGTAATGCCAATTTGTGTCATCCAATGCGCCTTCTGCAGCGAAAAGTTTAAGAAGCCCCAGCAACTGCAGGACCATGTGCTGAGCAAACACAAGGACATAAATAGTCCACCAACAAAAATCAAGCCACCGCAGAAGCTGCAGCTGCAGCCCTTACCAACAGCCATTAACATGGACATGGACACCGATCAAACCTCCTTCGAATCGGCCTCAACTACTTCTAATCAGGTATCATCCACAATGGATGTAAGCCAGAATAGCAGCTCTGCCAGCTGCAATTCCTCCATTAACAATTCCTACAACAAATCCTACTGCAAGTGTCACATATGCGGCAAGGCATTCGATTTGAAAATCAAACTTAATCGACATCTCAAGCAGCACAATAAGGCTCCCTTCTAGGCTCTGTGTGCTCTCACTTTTTCTTTGTGATTTTTTTGGTTGGTTGTTGAAAGAGCCGCACATCCTGGATTGAATCCTTAGTAAATGCATTTTTATTCTTAAGTCTGGGTTCGACCTTTTTTTAACTTTCAAGTGCACAAATTGCATTAGTTCTTTCCTTGGAAAATTCCTTTGCCATTCTATCATTTACATATTGTCTAAGCCAATCTCAGTTTAAGCTAAGAATTTAAGTGGAAAAATGCATTATCCCATAGCCGATAATGCCAGCTCTTCATCAGCCACAAGAATGAAGGACAAGGCTGACCCGATGGCTGCCAAGTATTCATGCAAATAAACTTGAAAATCGAACCTAAGTAAATGCATTTTTGTTTTAAGTCTGGGTTCTACCTTTTTATACCCGCTACTCGAAGAGTAAATAGGGTATATTGTATTTGTGGGGAATAACGGTTGTATGTAACGCACAGAAGGAAACGTATCCGACCCCATAAAGTGTATATATATTCTTGATCAGCATCAATAGACGAGTCGAAGAGCCATGTCTGTCTGTTCGTCTGTCTGTCTGTCCGTCTTGTTTGTCGGCTAGTTCTCAGAGACTATAAGAGCTAGAGCCACCAAATTTTGCATCCAGACTGCTATATGCTCACACTGAAATCAGCGTATTTCAAAAATGAGCCACGCCCCCGCAAAAGGGCGAAAGCCTACCAAACCTACAATTTGGAAGATAAAAGAAAACTAAAAACGCCATTCCGTAGTGAATGGCCATATCTATCAGATCACCAAATTATTGTAGCCAGAATGAAGAAATTAATTTTCAGTGGCTAAACCCACCCTGTCCCGCAGCTTTTGTTGTTCTTTTTACATTCTCTCATTCACACTCTGCTTCTGCTTCACTCGGCCCCTGCCTCTGCCCTCCCCCTGCCAATGACTCTTCCGACTTTTAACCCACCCCGTCCCGCAGCTTATATTTGTTTTTTTTGTGTGTGCGGGCGCTGCCTCTGCCGCGAGTCTGCAGTGTGTGGGTTATGCCAGTTCTTCATCAGCCACAAGAATGAAGGACATGGCTGACCCGAAGCACTAACCAAATACTATACTATTTGGTTAGTGCCCGAAGGCTGCCAAGTATACCTGCAAATAAACTTGAAAATTTACCACATGAAAATCTTGTTTTCTGGAATATTTAAATCATACTTTGAGACAAAAAAATAAAAATGAAAAATAATATAAAAATTATTTAGAGTATAAACTTATAAACAATTACTTTTTGAAGCAACTTTACAATTTAGGTTTAAAATAAAAAATATTAAAGTAAATTAAAAACAATTTTGAGAAGCATTCCGAATTTTGTTTGTATATTTGGATATATAAACTAAACTAAATATAAATCATTTTTTTATTTAAATTTTTGTTTCAAAATAACTGCAGACTTTAACCAGTGCAAGTCGTGGAGTTCATAATAGATCTACACAATCACGGCTTAGAGTACTTTAATATTACAGAAAATATATTCAAGAGTTCGATTTTAATTTATTCTGAATTATTTTTTAATGCAGAGAGAAAATGAGTAGCAAAAAAAAATGTGTTCACTTGATTCAGTTTGAGTTTTATTGGGGGTTTTCTATGTATGTGTGTGTGTGTGTGTGGTGTGTGTTTGTCGTTCGCTTTCACACGCGAGACGACTCGCTAAGCTTTAATTAATTATTTGCAAGAACTGTATGCCTAAGAATTACAATTATAAATTACACGATGCGTTAAAAGTAAATCAAAGAAAAATGTAACCCAAAATGAAGGTAAACAACGTGATTAACAAGCCTCTGCCACTGGTAAGTGGCCACTTCAGAGTCCACTAATCCTCCTGCTAATTACCACTCCCACTGGCCGCTGTCTTCAGCACTGTCCCCGGCATTAGTTTCTTAGCCTCTGACCCGGCCGTTGTTGTGACAGTGATCTTGCCACCTGCAGTAGCAGCAGCTCCAGCGGCCGACACCATGGGTATCACCTTCATATTGGATAATGGCTTGAGGTTCATTCCCTGCAAACCCTGCGAGAAGAACAACTGTCCGCCATTGCCTTGTACGGCAAATACAAGATTATTGCCAGCTGTTGCGGCGCCAGTGACAGTTCCTGTGGCATTGCTGCTCCCCGTGCTATTCGAAGTGCCTTGCTTGTTGGTCAACAAGACATTTTTGGCCAGACGCAGGGTCTGTGTGCCGCCAGATCCAATCAGCAGGGTCTTTGGTGCAGTCGCAATGCCACTGGAGGCACCAGTGGTGAGGTGATTGCTGTTGGTGCTGCTACTGCCGCTGGTGTTGGGCGATAACCGAACCAACTGGTTGCCCATGATAACGGTCTGCATGGGTGCGCCGCCCGAGCGTGCGGGAATCTGTATGGGGGAAATGCATTAATAAAGGATTGATGAGAGTTTTTGTGGCAGGTGTGCTTACCGCTCCTTGAATCTTCATCGTCTGCCCGCCAATTACAATGCTCTGTGTGGTACGCACAGCATTGGTTCCCGCTGTTGTTGTGGTCGCTGTGGGTTGGGTGGTCACGACACTACCGCCTCCCAGCTGCTTGATTGCCTTGGCATGCAGCAGCAGTGGCTTACCCGGCAGCACGGTCGTCTTGCCAATGATTTTGGGCACCATTGTCGGACTTCCTCCACTCGCCGTTGCACTCACAATGCGCGCCATCGTGGGCAGATGCTTGGCCTGCACTTGGATGGGTTGCGTTGTTTGGCTTTGATTTGGTGTCAGTGTGATGACATTGCCCGCCGAGGAGGTTGCCAACTGAATGATGTTGCTCCCAGTCGTGAGGAGTTTCCCGCCACTGTGCTGCTGTTGGTGTTGCTTTTGCAGCAGACTATCCAGAGTGATGATGTGCCCACCCTGAGAGGCATTCACTGCTCCGCCTGCTGCAGTGCTCACGGGAGTGCTGGTGCGTATCATACGCGTGGCATTTGTAGAGCTGACTACCGTCGTGGCTCCGCCTCCACCTGCAGCCGCCGCTTGCTTAAAGTTCTGCAGCACAATCCTTTGCTGTGGCGACTTGACAGTCGTTCCGCTACTGCTGGCCGTTGTGGTGAGTATTTTGGGTGCTGCCTTGCCCATTGCTTGGAAAACAATCTTTTTGTTCGACGAAATGGCTGTATTACCTGTTTAGAACAGAGAGAAAGGATTAAAGAGGATTCTCTTTTGTGTATGGGGGGGGTTTGCACTCACCAACTAATATCCTTTGCTGTGGCGATGTCTGCACTGGCGAGGCAATCTTTGCTGTGCCTCCCATTGCTTTTTGTTTCAATTGCTGTTGCTGCAACGTTGCAAATGCCTGTGGGGACATCTTCACAATGGTTCCGCCTGCTCCTCCGCCTACACTGACGGCACTCACGGCGGAGCTACTGCTCGTGGCAATGGTTATCGGGGATGTGCTGGCTTCCACTGATTTATTGGATATTATGGAGACGGCGCCAATCTTTTGCTGCACCGGACGCACCGTCGATTGCGGCACCACTCGCGGTCCCAGTATCTGCACTTGCGGTGACTTTACCTGCCCTGTGGCTGCCGCACCTGCAGGCAGCAATCTTATAATATTCTTCTGCGGCATCTGCGGGCGTGGACTTATTGTCATACTCTTCGGTTTGCCCAGCACTTGAGAGTGCTGCTGTGGCGAGTGTTGTTGCTGTTCCTGTTGCTGTTGCTGCTGCTGCAGCTGTTGGTCCAATGGTATGATAAAGTTGCCTATTTTGCTGGTTGTCGGTGGCTTTTTGATCGTCAGCTTTTTGTTAACACTCATCGTGGGGGACGTTCCCAACTGCGTAGAAGTGGGCGTGGTGGCCACATGTACCGTCTGCATGCCACTGGGCGTCGATACCAGTATGGGTGTGGTATTCCTTTGCGAACTGATCTTCGATATAGCAAAATTACCCGTCTTTACCGGGATACCCCCAGCCATTGGGCGATGCACTGCACCCATGGGCACGGGCTTAAGCAGTGATTTTTGCATTGGGTTGGGTGAGGCATTAGCACCGGTGGGCGAGAGTGCAATGCCTGTACCCTGGGATGATGATGTTGAGTTGTTGTTGTTGTTGTTGTTGTTGGCAGGTGGTATGTTGTACTTGAGAGGCGGCACTGGGGGGCACTTGACAGGCAGCGGAGAAGTTTTCTTAACGTGCAGCAGAGTGCCGGCAGCAGTCGAGACAGAGACGGGAGCTGCAGTGGGCGTGGGATTACCCACAGAGGGTACCAATGCTGGCATATCCTGGAGCTCTGTGGAGCTATCGCCATCCTCCTTCTTTGGCTTGGCCAGCTGCTTCCTTTGCTGCTGCTTCTGCTTCACCAGCGACAGGTTGTGCTTGTGCATTCGCTCGAACTCCTCCTCGCTGCGATTGCGATGCAAGTAGATCCAGATCTTGCGCTTGGCATCGTACTTCACACAGGGATCGATGCCGCCATGCATACGGTCCAGTGCTCCACTGACAATCGTCTGCAGAACATTCTCCGCCGCCTGATGATTGACGTACTGTGAGCACTTCAGCAGCTCTGAGATTTCCGAGCGTGTGCCCTCGCCATTGGGTAGCCGGGCCGTGGCATCACGCACCAGCGTCAGGATGGTCACAAATGGCGGCCGATCGTCCACCATGACAGCATGTCCGCGTGCCTTGTTCAGCGCCAAACTCTGGGTGTAGATGCCCTTGACGGGACCCACAACGCTCTCGTAGCCATTCAGGTGGTAGGTGAACGGCCGATGGGGATACTCAAAGCGTAGCCTCTCCTGTCGCTGGAACTCCAGCTTGTCTGCCTGGCTGGCCGTGCGCACCGTCCAGCTGGTGGGGCACCGAGGCGGTGGCGTAGGCGTTAGCGTCTGCGTGGTTGAGGCATCCAAGGGTGTGCTCGCAATAAACATGGCGCTCGGGCATGGATTCAGATGCACCGTAGTGGCTATGGGTTGCTCCTCTTTCTGGGTCCTCAGCCAGTACTGGCAGAGGGTGCACAGTCGTGCATCGGAGTCCCTGCCAGCGCCAATCCACTGGTAGATATTCAACACGGTTTTGTGCTCAATGTAGGGCACATATTCCGCCGGAAGTGGTCCGAAATCAGCAGCCAGAAAGTTTACTGCGGACTGCAGCAGCAGCGACCAATCCGGCTGCTGCATGCGCGTCACATTGCCCGTTGGTATGACTGCATCGAAATGTTTCTCCCGCCAGTTGGCCAACAGCAGCTGCAGTTCTCCGTAGGTCAAACGATGCTGGGGCGTGGAAACAAACAGATCTCGCAGCAGAGAGAAGTAGCAGGCAGGGCGTGGCGATGCCGCCGGTCGAACAACTTCCCCTCTATTGGGGGGACTGCCAACAATGTTAACA